CAAATAGAAATTAACATTCAAATTACCTGTACAAATTTAAACACAATTCAAAGTAGTGAGTAGATAAGACACTTATTATTATTACTACATCAATGGTTGATGGTTCGATGTTATCCTTACAATTTGTTTGAGGGTAAAAACCGACTTCCCACATGGACCAATGACGATAGTTCAGACATATCAGTAAACCTCAGATACTGACGTGTGGAATTCGTAAAGACCATCTTAGTGTCATTGACTATGTCTATCCGAGCTCACTCGATATCGAGCTAAGACTCGACAGCTTGTAACTGCCAAACCACCTTGTTAGAACGATTCTAACAGACTTGTTCTTTTACTTCACCTATAAAAGGAACTCACTCCAACTTATAAAGTACCTAATTTTATCTAAAGACAACTTATTAAATTTGTGCTCGTCCTGACTTTAACTTCGTGTTTGTTGTTATACTTAAAACAGGAAAAAAACTAAAATAATTTATTTTATAGTTAACTCAAACTTAACCCAACTAAGATGTTTATTTAATTAAAAAAATCCATTTATTTAATAAACCGAAGAAAATAGGAAAAAAGTCGCATGTCACGACCTAGAGCAGTTACAGGCTACTGCTTTTGAAAGCAAACGTACGTCGCCATTTCCAAAAGAGCAATAACCAGTGACCAAAACCCTAATCGTTCTCCAAGCGACGATATTCCTGGCCGTACGAATTTCTCTGAATCTTCTTCTTCTTCCATTTTCTTTTTCTCTTTATCGCTTTTAATCGTCTTTACAATCATGATCTTCCTCCCGGGTAATGTATGTAGTAGTAGCATATTCTTTGATTAGGGTTTGGATTTTAAGCATTCATGGCATGCCTCTTCTTTGCTACTCATCATCATCGTCTTAAGTTGCTGTTTTCTTTAATCTCTCTGGATGGAAATCGGAAATGTGATGTTCTGGTGACGTTCATTGTTTGATTTTGTCAAACTGTGGAGCCAGTCGGTTTAATGACTCAGTGACTGACGATCGTTTTGGTTCCGAATTCGGAGTTGCTTATGAGGTGTGGATGTTCGTCTTTTTCTGATTATCCCATCTATGTACTGTTTATATTAATCGAAACAGAGGTTGAGAAGTTATTTTATGTTTTGTACATCTGCTTTTAGCTTTCTTGGGTTCCCTTGTGGTTTTTGATGCATGATTTTTAAGGAAGATGTTCATCTGTGGAGTCCTTTTATTTCTCTGATTTGAAGTCTAGGAAAGAAAAATGGCTGAATCGAAAGTGAAGACCATTAAAAACCCCCCAGTTGCAATCAAGCTGGAAGCTGCAGAACGAGGAGATGTGGCTGAATCAAAAGTAAAAACCAACAAAAACCCCCCAATTGCAATCAAGGAAGCTGCAGATCAAGGAGATGTTTACAACAACATTTCCAATTTGGTTACCGAAATGAGGATTGTTGCGAATAGACAGATTGATATGGAGCATAGGAGCAAAATTAATGACTTCTTTGTCTGTGAACCTCCTTGTTTTGGTCAGGAAACCGATCCTTACGCTGCTAAATACTGGATTTTGAAGCTGGAAACTATCTTTGATTGCATAGATTGTTCAGATGAGCAGAGGGTTTCTTTTGCTGTCCTGAAGCTAAATGATTCTGCACTCTCTTGGTGGATAGTGGCAGAAAGACACTTGAAAGATGAAGTTACAGTGACATGGGAGAAGTTTAAGGAATTATTCTTTATGAGGTACTTCCCACGATGGATGCAACACCAGAAGTATGCCGAACTCTGTAGTCTGGAACAGGGAGATAGAACCGTAGCAGAGTACGACGTAGAGTTCATCAAGTTGTGTTCTCTTGTCTACGATTTCATTGGTAGTGAGGCTTGGGAGACTTCCCTGCATGATATTAGGATACAGATTTGCTTATTACGTGACACCACCTACCCCCAGGTGAGGGACATGGCGTTAAATCTGGAACGCCGCCTCAACGCTCAAGAGGATCAAGATTAAAACTATTGATTGAAGTAGAATGACAGCAGAGGGGAAGTTGGAGTTGGGGATCGATCACCTTCATCACCTTTCAATGGTGATCTTTTTGAAATGTGGTATGGTTCTGATTGCAAATAGTTTAGTTTATAGTTTCATAGGTTAGGCTATGAAGTTCATGATAGTTTCTTGTTTTTTCACCTCCAAAAAACAGAGTTCCCCACTCCCCATCTGGTCTGGCAATCACTGCCTTATACTGTTGTTTTTGTTTGTTGGCTTTTGTTAGGTGAAGTCTTTAGCATCCAGCTGCTTTAAAAGCTAATGCTGCATTGTCTATTGCTTTAATTTGATCTTTTTTTTTTTCCATTACTCATGTTTTGCTTATTTTATTAAAAATTAGGGGCGAAAGAAACCGAACCGACCCAAAAAATTGATCCGACCTGAGTGGGTTTGGGGTTGGTTCGGTTTAATCAAAATATAGATCGAACTTAATATTTTCGGTTCGGTTCGGTTCTAACTGATCGTAGGGTTTCACTTCCAGTTGTGCCGCCCTCCCCCTCTTCACGACTCAACCCAAGGTGACCCTCTCCCTCCCTTCTCTCTCTCTATAAACGGCCCAACGATAGCTACCCACGATTTTGAGTGGCCCAGCGGCAGCGACCCAGATCTTACAACTTTTCTATTTGGCAACCAATGGAACCCAACAACCTAATAACGTCGATAACGTCAGATGTGGATTTTGGAGTTGCAATGACCAATGGTTCCTTCGATAACATCGTCGAAAATTCTAGTGATTCGTCCACAGTTACTGCGGTTGAGAGCTGCAATTCCTCGGTCTCTGACGGCGGCAGTCAATTGTCGAGAAATTTTGACTTCAAAAGCTTGTATGTGGGTGGAGTGAAGAAATTTCTGGATTTTGGAATAGTTTCATTAAAGAGGAAAAATAATCCTAGGGTTAGAAGGAGAAGAAGAAGAAGAAAGAGATGGGAGGGATTAAATTAAATTAAAAAAAAAAGAACTGAATTCAAGTTGGTTCAGGTCGGGTTTGACTCGAAGACTTTCGGGTAGGTTCGGTTTTGGCCCAAACAAATTTGGTTCAGGTTGATTTATAAATCCATCTTTTGGGGAGAGGAAAGATCCAAGAATTTGCAACTCTAATATGTAGATCTTTAATAACATAACCCTCTCAAGATCAAAGAAAATTTCTACGTAAAACCTTCATATTCAAACCCTAGCTCGTAATTTGTTGGCTATGAATAATGATTGTAGCCATTCTTTGGCTGTTTGTTAGACGTCTCTCTCAATATTTCTATACTTTTTCGTTCTACTTTGAATTTTTTTTTTCCATTTGATTTATTTTCAGATCGCGATAAAAGATTCATTTCCCTTTTTTTTATAGTTAAATTAATATTTGACTTTATATATTGTATATGTTATTCTTGGTATTTGTTTTCCAGATGTATCTCCTAAGTTGTGACTAATCCCGATTTTATTATTTAATAATTGGTATCTGATGTGTACGTTCTTGATGTTTTTGTTATGGTTAATGTTCTCCAATTTACGGATTTTTAGTTAGAATTTATTGTGGGTTGGAGTTGACATTTTAAGCTTAATATATCTTATATGTTTTGTGAGATTATTGTAATGTTGGACGTGGATCTAAATAATTTCTACTGTTCTTTTACACGGTTAAAGAATAAAGTCTTACTTTCAAATATTATTGATTTTGTAAAGTGGGTGCTTGAAGCGTAAGTTTCATATCTCAAACTATTTAGTAAATATCGAGTTTTGGTAGAGAGTTTAAAAAGTCGTAAAGCAAAGAGTAAAAGTTCCATGGTTTTGTCGAAATCTTTAAACAAAGGCAATTAAGGTACACAAGACTTTGTTTTTTTTTAAATATAACATATGTGAATAATATTATCTATATATTTTGGTTTGTAATTATAAATGTAATTTTATAATATAAGATAATAAACAAAAAATTATGTTATAATATGAAAATCATTATTGAATGTTTTTACCAATGATATACTTTTATCTTTAATTAATTTAATTCTAAACCAACTTTTTTTATAATAATAAAAAAGTAATGTAAATACCCTTTAAAAAGTAAATTATAAATTATTAGTGAGCCTTTTCAAAATTTTATAAGAAACCTTGCAAAATCTCTTAAATTATTTTCTTTTTTTTTTATAATAAAAATCTTTCAGTCTCTCTTAAAATACCACCATAAATACATTTTATTAATTAGTTTATATTATTTTATCTCTAGTGATTATCCCATCTTATGAAATATTGTAAACAATAATGAATATATTACTTTGTTTTTTTTTTGTGAAGATATAGTGAATAATTACTTAAAAAATATTATAAAAATTAACAAGTACTTGGCCAAAAGTACCGTTAATCAAAATTATAATTGATGTCTATTGAAAAAATATTTTAATGAATCAAAATTTAATAAATATAATTTTTTTTGTAAAAAACTTAAATTTACATAAATTTAAAATTTAAATACATAATTTCAGTTTTGTCTTCTTAATCTTAAAAGTTTCAATATAGTTTCAATATAGTCCTTAATTTAAAGATAGTTTAAATTTAGTTCATGTAATTTAAAATTTTCAATTAATTTCTTATTATTTAGTCAAAATCTTACAAATTATCTTTCTTATTAGTCTATTAACACCATTTTATGTGATAACATACTGATATTTTCTACCAACCTAACTATATATACACACACATACATATATGTGTTTTGGAAAGTTAGTTTAGTTAGTTGACTATATCAAAATTTAAGATTAAATAAAAAAAAAGTTTAATACGAAATTAAAACTTTTAAAACTATGTGGAATTAAATTACAATCAAATTATAATTTAAGGTATACAGAATTTTGGTTAGAAGTTAGAGGAAGGCCTTTTAATTTCCCCAAAAGAGTGTCCCCCAATGGGGCAACCACCATAATGGGTTTCTCCAGAGTTGGAGAATTTTCATTTGTAATTTTCTTCAGCAGATATTCATATTCTATCTCCCATTTTCTTGTGGGCACAGAGAGAGAGAAATCATCCCTCTGCTTTTGCGTTGCTGCGAGTTACGAGGAAGAAGAAGAAGCAGAGTTCAATGGGGGAGGAGATGGAGCAACTGCTGAATATGGGGTTTCCCGACGAGCTGGCGGCGCAAGCCTTGGCCGCCACCGGCGGCAAATCCACTCTCAAAGCTACCGAATGGATTCTCAATCATAAATCCTCTTCTTCTTCTTCTCCTCCTTCCTCCAAACCCAATCCTAATCTCCCCCTTCCTCAACCCAACCTCCAGCCCAAACTCGATCGCTT